GCAAAAACCTAGTTTTACGGAAACGTACCTATTGTATACACATAAATATGTATTTACTCATCATTTATACTTAACAAAGCATCGGAAAAACCACGCGTCGCTTGATTATGGCATACATGTCATAAGTCTGACAGGTGGCCGTTTGTGAACAACAATAAAATGATCTACTAACGTCCATAGATGACGGTAAATTGATACCCACCATAAATGGGGCGGACGTGAATATATTGAGGAGCACAATACCTCCACTACAGGAGGAAGATTGCTGTGTGTATAAAAATATGAGGAACAGATTCATCACTAAATGTTTCCGTGTACTATTCATAGCAAATAAAAAATTGGTCCTTGTGGATGTGCATGTAAGTTTGGCTAAACTTAAACTACGATTTTAATATAATCAGGAAGAAAAAGATCAACAATAAAACAAAGGTGTTTGAAAGCAGGATATCTAGCGGTAATTACAGACAACAATACAGGTGAATGGCTGAGAAAAGTAAGGCTAAAATACAAGATTGTAAGTTAATTGCACTTTTTTCGTGAAAGTATAAAACTTGTAGACTGAAACAAAGAGTTGGTTAATTTATAAAAATACCTATTTAGGTGGTCATGGTCTGGGAGATACGAAGTAGGTGGAAAAAACTGTTGAAAAAAAGCTTCATGAACTAAATACCTATATCAGACTGATCAATTTTTTTACTAATTGGTGCAAGACACATAATTTTTAAATGCAGGCTTTCATGAACCGTACTCAAGAACCTTCAAAGAAAATTAAGGAAAGGCAATCAGATTACCTATCATCGGTATCGGAATGGGACCACTTCGACAAGAAAATTGAATAATCGATATCGATTGGGACCGACCTCACAAGCACCAATTAGGTGCGAGTCTACAAAATTGGAACACAGTAGATTAAAAAAGTATCTAGACAAGGTGTGTTTTAAACTTTATCTATATCGTTACACATACACTGATGAACATAAAATACACGTTTTTTTTCTTTCTTCTTTCGTAATTTAATATTACGTGAGATATTCATAGCATTATTATAGGTTATAAGTTCAGTGATTAATGACATAATTATCTTTACACATGAGAGATTTGTGTATAGTGTAAGGAATGCCACAAGGGTGAGTCCTAGGCCCAATCATATTAAACTGTCAGTTTAGTCTTGAAAGTATTCAACAAAGTAAAAAAAATAATCAGAGGAAGGTAGGAACTATTTAGACTAGTTATAAACGCTGAATTTTATTGAGAAAACAGCGATAATGAGACGACAGATGAACATAATGTAAAAACAACTTAAAATGTACATTTTCTATGAAAACGTGATGAGCACGATTATTTATTTACTTTAACTAGAAGTGACCGGAAATAGTAAAACAAATTGTATATTTTATAGTACTATCAATATTGAATTTAATTAAAGGTACCGTGTGTCAGATCTTTATCGCCCACGTAACTGCGTCAGGAGATGCAAATGCGCTTGTTCTGCATTTATAATGATGCAGGTTATTATTTAATACTCTACGATAATATTGCTATAAGGGATTGTTTTAGTTTCGCACTACATTTAAACTATTGGCTGTAGTGATGATCTCTTAGAAGCAAATAGCCTATTGATACAGTTTGAGCTCGAGTATTGGGTTTTTGGCTTTAATATTTGTTCCGTATACAGTATTATCTCATCGCGGAGAACCTAACGGGTTACCGGCGCTCCGGTTCGAAGTGCAGGAAAGGAACGGGGTGGTTTTTAGTCAGTAAGAGTCTGACACTCCATCCCGCCTTACCCAGGCAGGAGAAGTAATTCGATGATTTCCCCCCTTAAAAAAATACAGTATTATCTTATGGTACAAAAATAACTAACGCTTACATAGATTGCGCTAATCAGCAAGGTTGGAGGAGAACCAAACAGTTTTTATGGTTTCTAGGTGTCAGCTCGCGTAATTCTTTTTAATTACCCAAACGAAGGTCATTCATTAGATATAGCTTCAGCCAACGACAACCAGGCCCATAACGTCGCACCTACTTATAATTCAGCACACCCTAATGGTGCCTAAGCAGATTGCGTAACAAATGGGCACGTTACGAAATCATTATACACTCAGCATACAATCCATTAACCGAAGGAGTAGAATCATGTAATGAACAATAATATAGTTATGGAAATAATTGGGGACAAACTAACATAGAATACATTACTAAAAAGTATATCGTTAAAAGATGATTTGTTATAATTATTGGCTATTAAATGGCCACATAGACAGTTATTGTTGAAGGCACGTTATTATGTTACGAAGACATCTGCATTGTAATAAGTAAGAATAAATCACGTAACGATACGTTTTGTTTGCAAATAGCCAGGATCTTAGATCATTGAGCGAAGAGATTATACCTTTATGACCGTCATTAGATGGTTTAATGTTTGTACCACTAAACAATAGTGCGGACATATTGATGAATGTTGTTATTGCAGTTCCATCATCATATTCCTTTGAACACTCAACGTCTACATTTTATGGGTGACATATTTCTTGGTATCGAGTCTAATGCTTAAGTGATATCTGAGTGCATAAGATGAGTTTGAAGACAGGCAACTAAGATAAGCCACATCCTGACATAACTGTTCACGCATATCTTTAGATGCAGCTACTTGGTATGGAAATGTCGATTGATGAGAAGTAGGTAGAAACGTCAGACAGAATATCGGTATGACGCTAAAGAATTATGACGCGAAAGTTTTGACAATTAATTTTATTCCTACGTAATGATGTCCTTGAATAGTAAATGTGTTACTAGGAATTTACCGTTGATGAAAAATGTTTGTTCATCTACATATTTTGAACGAAAATTGCACGATTCTTAACTTCTACGATGTAACAAATACCATCTAATACACAGACCAATTTAAAGCATTGTGTCAGTGCAAAGAAAAACTTGCGTAAAATGTAACAATAGTAGAACGCAGTACGCAGTAGATTTAGTGCGATTACGCGATTATTGCATAGCCACGGATATGAAACCTTGCTAACTGAAGGAAAGGAAATATTGCTCAACTAACGGACGGTATTCGGACGTGTGGCTTGATGGATTTCCTGATTGATATTTATATTATTCCTACATTTCATATTAAAGGTTTGAGTATTAGGAAATAAACCAGAGACATAGCTCAAAACAAACCTGATTGATATAAAAAAAATATAATTTATACCTAGAACATAAACAATTGTTCGATTTAACGGTTTGATTCGTTGCGGTTTCCACTTATCACTCAAATATGCAGCGAAAGTGCTAGCAGCAGTTGGATTCAAAGAAAACACAAAAGCAATGAAGCGAACCGTGTATCTTAATTATGTAAATGAACACTTGATTCAACAACTCGAGTCCACATACTTAATTTGCGAAATCATTGCATTCTTTGAATAGTTGATGACATAACAGTTTAGGACATTATAGAAAATGTGTAGACCGTTATTAATAATGAAGTTGTAATTCCATGGCATACTGCATCGTAGCGAAAGCCTGTTTGGAACAGGATCGACTCTGCAAACGACAAATACAGCTAACTCGTTGAATTTTTGTTAGCAATGAAGGATCTCTTGTTGTCATAATTAAAGGACTATGACGTCTGTAACCACCAATGGATGCATCACTGATTCAGAGTTGTTGATTAGTGTCGAGTATGCAAATGTAGGCCTGCTTTCTTTAGTACCGCGATTACTCACGACTATTGTTTGCAGCCTCCCCTTTTGCCGCTCGAGTGGCAAGTATTTGGCAAACAGTTCAAGCTCGTCGAGAGCGCTCAACAAGGGTTTCAGTGCGACTAACAATAGGAATGCTTTTAGTTTAATTCAAATTTAAATCAGAATGCACCACAATATTAGCAAAAAGATATTCAGGTCATGGTGCAATCTAAGCGCATCAAATCATCATAACAATTTACTGAAGCAACGATTTAACATAACATTTGCAAATAATAATATGAAACATAACTCGTAATATATTGACCAAGTTACCGAAGGTTGAAGCCGCAACGCATCGGCTGCTATCTGGGTCGGAACGGATGTAAAGACATAAGGTACCGAGTGAAACCATAGAACTACTATCTATAGAGACTTTGTGGGTCTACGGAAACTTGCATTGACCTGATACTATTTTCATAAAAGAGAAAGGTCGTTAAATCAAAGCAAATATTGGTCAATATGAATGTAGTATTCGATTCTGTGACATATACCTGCACATGCAATTTCAAAGACATGTTAAACAGGTATATCTGGAACGTTGCTCCAATCGCTGTAGCCCAGAGCCTAGAATGTAACGGCAGTCAATGTGCACCACAAGTGCCTAGAAAATATGAGGACGATATTGCGCAAAAATAATCAAAAACGTGCGTGTCTCACGATCTGTTTTTGCATCTTCCAAAACCCATAACTTAAAGGAGCATACTAATTAATAAGTGAAAAATTGGTTTCTAGACAAATAATGAGTATGATCGTAAATCGAAAGATAAATGAGATTGAGAAAATTAAATTGATCTGAAACGAACACGACACGCGCAGAAACTCAACATTCGTTTTCTATATTACATTCTATCAGTATGCACATGATTTTAGTCAACATTATAAGTGCCCATAAAATACGAAAGCATTAAAATAATCGTGTCCACTTTACGTTGGAGCATAATTGTATAGCATTGCAATTTCAATCACAGTCTAATACGTCGGACACGACGACGGAGCTAATTAGGTCATTTACTTGCTGCATGATTCTACTATTCTAGTAATGTTCATCGCGATGAAATAATAACTAATGACAAAAGTATTTTAACTAATTGTGGATGTCTTCGTTGACGTTTCTGTTATTTATGTGCGGCATCAACGTATGATATCAGGAACGGCGATAAATTATATTTAGTAGAGTTGATAAGGACACTGGGCCTAGAATAGTCATATAACCGGTATCAAACAGCACGTGGAGTATGCCAGTGTTTGGTATACACTTACGGCCAAGTACCAGACCTTCGTCGGCGATGTGTCCTGGGCTGCGGCTCCGGCGCGTGCAGTAATGCTTGCGGGATCAGGCTTTTGGAGGGCTTGCGTCTCGTCAGCCGGTACTCCGGTCTATCCGCTGCACTCTTACATAGTCTCAATGTGGACAACTCACTTTCAGAGCCACACCATAATGAATCCATCGACAACATTGTTTCACGTTAGTTTTAACACATCACAAAATATCAAATACTGTTCAAAAGTTTTCTCACGAGCAACCTTGGAATCTGCACTGTTGCAACGGCAATTTAAGACGAGCAATCCAACACGCAGTAGTTAAGTTACAGGAGGATCACGATTAAGTTTATTTTTGGACGTATTTTCCAAAAGTTTTGACAAATGTTGCAACCAGTGTTAGTTTAGTGAAGCAACATTTAACAAGTTGAATAGGCGCGCGAAATCACGCAAAATTTCGTACACGTGACGCCAATTGGTGGAAAATTGGAAAATCTTAGAGAGGTATATTTTTCCGAATATTGTAGGATATATGGAATTTGTTTACGGTGTGTATCGCGCAAAGCGGATCGTAGGCCCGCAAGCCGCTACCGAGTGAGAGCGCGGGAGCCGTGACGGCGTGGTGCGGCCGACTGAATGCGCGAGTGTCGCGAGCGGCAAACCCTCCCGCCACGACCACGAACTCGCCGAATGCTCAAAAATTGCAAACAAAAGATGTCTGGACGCCGTTATCGCAGAGATTGTGGCGACCACAAGGAGGGCATCATTCTTCTTCATGCGAACTTTGTTGTGACTTTAAGAAAATGATAATCTGTTTGTGTTTAGCGCACATGTTACTTGTTATTGTTGTTATTGTGAGCTAAGAAAATAACATAGTGGTTCATGCTTCGAAGATGGTCTATCAAGTAAAACTGGGCAATATCTCTATACAATAGATTTATGCTTTATTTTATATCTATTGCGATTTGGAAGTCTATCGTCTACTAGAAGTAGCATTCATATTATTAAAGAAATTTTGTGAAGCGCTTGCAGTAAATGATGAGGCCTAATTTCGTAAGGTCATGAATGCCGACGATGCTTTTTATTAATTGTGGAATATTATGATGTTATGGCGGATATTAATTTTGTCCTTCACAATCGTGTTGTCCATGCATGCCACTCGTGATGCATATATCGCGTGCTTTTAATCACATTAATGGATAGTTTTGGAAGGTCTCCCAATTAATGTTGTTGATGATGATGCTATAATTTTTCCGTACTTGCTTGCATTTAGTAGTGATTTCAGTGATGGTCATTTTAGTTCTTCGTTCACCTTTGTGGTGATAATTACCGTTGAGAAACATTTCTTGGTAAAGTTCCTTAAAATCATGAACAGGGTAATAAGAAGAGTAACATTTGGAGTTTCTTGCTCGTTCTTCTCCATAGGAATCTACACCTTGGAGTGAGCAAATAGCTTCACGTTTAATTTATTTTTTGTTGACGTTCAAAAGTGCCATCCTGGTCTAATTTAAATAAATGATTTTGACTTCGAAGAAGTTCTTTTATGATTTTTCATCTCGTGCAGGGAGTCGCATCGCATGTTTTTATTGCAACTCGATAACCTGATTGGACACTAATTAACATTCGATTGCGAAATATACCTAATGGAAAATAGTTCTTTATCACATTTTTGTAGCAAAAACCACGGACTTGAACAAAATACCTCTTGCGTTTTGTCTATTAATTAGTGTTTCATGTATGATGTCTATTTTTTGCTGAATATGAGACGAAACAAGAATGTTGTATGGTTCTATCAATCAGATAAGAAGATGAAAGTGTTAACAATAACAAGGCATGAGACTTAAATAATTAAGATTACAAAAATGATACAGATGTTTTAGACAAAAATGGAAATATCACTTACAGAAATATGTTTATTACACGGTACAATATTGTTATCGGTTGAACATAAGCAATCCATCATAACTATGAGTCTTTGTGTGTGACCCAATTTTGCTCATGACGGTAAATCTCAAGGAGATAGATCGCTAAATGGAAGAGATAGAGGTAGAGGCAGGGAGCATCTCCGCAGAAACTCTTCAAATCAAATCTCTGTGTATTGGAAAGGGTTAAGTTTTGTCCAGTGAGCTAAGACCCCATCCGATTGGTGTAGGTTAGGGAAAAAACGTTGGCTTGCTTATGCTATGCTGGTACTACTATCGGTATACCGATTTTGGATACGGGTTTTAATTTAATAATATTTGAGGAGGAAAAACGTAATAATCAGCCTAAAGTAAACCACTAATGGTTCTAATGGATTAGTTACGAAATATTGATGTAATAGTACAAAAACATAATACTAGATGAAATTGGTACAGGGCCAAGGCACCTGTGTTTTCCTTCATTCATATTCAGTTATGCCCTAAATAACTGCATCAAATGACACCAATTTAATAACGGGTCCATATCGAAAAGCTGGCTTGTAAATTTTGCTATGATTGGCTAGGCTATTTATCATTATACTGACTATAAAATTTATGTCTGTATTCCTTTTAGATGTCAACAGCTCTGGGGCTCAAGAAAGGATCGAAACAGGTATTTGATTAGATGGAATGCAGATGTGGAATATTATTATCGATCCAGCTAAATGATAAGCGAGTGCGGAAAAACCAATGTTACGTGTAGTTACCAGGTTGCGACGAATAATTTAAAGCGCAAATACCTGCAGGGTTTTATACGTAACATAAAGGCTGTTTTTAAATTTAATTAGGTGAATTTATATGAAAAATTAATGGGTTGTGTTTTAAGAATCATTTTATCTTGTTTGAAGTTGTATCTATGGGTTAAGGATACGACGATTTTATAAAATGCAATTATCAGTCCTAAAGGGTACATAAGTTAAGTTAAGGTTAACTGTGAGTGAAACAAATTATTAACTGACTTCAGTTAAACTGCGGTAGGAAGTGCAAACAGTTAAAAGATGAATATTTTTTATACAGCAGTAATTTAAGTCCGCGAAACATCTGCATGCATAAAGCTTTACGTTAAAAAATATTGCACACTTCTCCAGAATTGGCCAACTATATGTATTATTTTCGTTTTTATTAGTTTAAATTACAAATTCGCAAACAGGTCCGACCCACGCTATGCTAATTCCCAGTAAACAATAGTAAACAATTAGGTGCTATAGTTTATACGGAAATTGGTGAATTAGATGTAGGTAGTCAATCCCATTCATAAAAGTGTATTTTATCGGAATAGTTTTAAGATTCACTATTACCGTGAACTTATTACGAGTCAGATTGATGGTGGTTTTAAAATTCGGGAGCCTCTACCACAATCTTAATTTTATCCTTACATTGAGCCCGAGGTTGGTAATAGGGAATCCTCTTTGGCGCGGGCAGTTATTGTTACTTTGCTGTGAGTTCAATCCGGCACAGAATTCGAGTGTGGGTCAAGGAGTCATTGTCCTATAACTGGCACGTTCCTGGTGGGTCAGTCGGCGTGAGTCAGCCTCAAAAAGTTGAACTAGTAGTCGGTCCTTTTGACCGAAACCGTGTTACAGACGTTGCGTGGGTTTAACGAGGCACATTGGACTCCGCGCCTTAGATTGGATCTCGGATACGGAGCGATCTAGTCTACGATCTATGCACGAGTAGCTTCACAGATTAATTAACCAGTACTTAAGTATAGCGCTCACTTTTTGAAGTTTGTGTTATTAATTTTAAAAAGTATTGTCGTCAAATTAGCATTTGTCATACTTAGCAAGCCGTTTGCAATTAATGACGAATTTATAAGTAAAATGTGATCTGGTTTCTGGTCCTTACAGTGTTACAGTCGCCCATATAATAGGTAGGTACATACGTATTTGTCAAGAGTTAATGCTACGAAAAATATTACTGGAGTCGTAAATATTTTAAATAACTAACTACCTTCTAATCTTCAAAATACGTCGAAACAATAATTTCATTAGAAAAACATTGCCCATTAAAATCTTAAACTCGCGATATCCGGCGTTACCCGATAGATGGCGTTAACACCAAGACTAGTAGTAGAAATATAATATTTTTAAATGTACCGGTAGGTACTTAAAGTCATGATATAAAATTTGAATGTGTTCAAAGGATAGAGGTCCCAATATAAGGGTTTTCCTCTATAGGGGAATTGGAACAACATGAAACAACATGTTTATATGGATTTTTAGGGGTTACAGTAATACTTGATATCTTTTTATTTTATATTGAAGATGCAAATGTATAGGATTTACCAATAAATTGTTCACCTTGCACCTCCGGAATTGGCAATGTATATTGAAATTATGATTTGATTACTCTAAAATTTAGAGTATAAATTAACTGATTGGAATTCCAAATAGACTTAGCATTGAAATTCATTATATTATTTAAAAAAAATGAATGATGTGTTGTTTATTATACTTAATGGGCCGACATTTAACCACTATCTCGCCTTGTATATATTTGATTTTAAATATTCTGGAATTTCAGACAATTTTATTTAATGTATTTGATAGTTGATAAATGCATAGTATTATAAAATATTAGATACTGCTTATTGTAAGTTATTTACTGTGTAAAATAAATACTAAAAAATAAATGAAAGTTTCCAAGGCAATATTTTAAGGCTATTTAGTATGAACTTAACAAATATTGTGCTATTTTCCAAACATAATTTAGAAATATTATTGCATTGTCTAATGCAATCTATCTAATGTTTAAATAATAAATAAGTCATCATATTCATATGAATTTTTAGTAAAACAGAGCAATTAAGCAAAGATACATTATATATTCATGTGTATTGATAATAGTCTTACAAATGTATCTTGCTTCTCACTGCTTCTGTTATAGTTATAGTTAGCTATAAATATAATTGAAGAGGGATCAACGACCGATACGATTCATAAATCTATCAATACATCTACATAAGTACGTCGTGTACCTGTGATAAGAAAAAAAAAACATTCTTACGTACAAAAGTACACACCTGTCTTCCTCTTCAGCAGATTCAGCAACGCTAGTGGTAGGACGAGGTTTAGATTTAATTAAAATTTTACTTTCCATCTTCAAAACAAAATGTTTACTAAAATCTGCACAAAACTATCTCAAGATCCTTCATTTCTTAAAGTCAACTTCAATATTGAAGACACCATAATGTTTATAATGACTCATTGTTTACAAACATTACTCATTTCACTTTA